CCCAGATACCTTAAAACACTAAACTCAGTATAACAGTGTACGTCAAAAGGCACGCTCAATACTTGTTGCTGGTTGGCGCTGGTCGGCGCAGTTTCGACTTCTGGTGAGGAGTCGACGTGTTAAACAATAGTGTTCTAAGCACGAGGAGATGAAACAGTTGTTAACAACATCTAGAAAAAATATCAAATCAACCATTGATGGTTTAAAGTAAGCAAAACAAAGTAGACCTTTATTGCACTACGTAGCCATTTCATCCCAACTGACACCAAGGTATCACTATAATCTCATTACAGGATGGAGATATCGGAGATAAATTTCATGCCCCATGGTGACAAGTACCATCAACAATACGCCGCCCTTGCGGCCTGGTTTCTTGGACCTAAGGGAGAGAACAAAGATATATTTACAGACTTAGCCAAATCGGCTGTTGAGGCCCACATAGACTTTCGGACGAACTACTATCCGACAGACAAACCCTACATCACTGACGACATTAAAACAGCTCGGGCTTACAGGAACGAAGTCAAGGAACTGAAAAATGAATTAATGAAGATGACAGAAGAACTAAAAGAAACTACTCCAAACCACAGTCTGCGATACGAGGTAACGTGTTTGAACTTTTTCAATATGTTGGTTACTTCAATTGCCCTATATGCAGATGACATGTAGATGAGAGATATATCACCAATATCTGATTTGCATGTACTACTTGTACTACTTGGTACTTTGAAAGCGATGAACAGAGGCGGATTCAGTGCGAGAGGGTTCAAAATTGGGAAAATGGGGATATTTGTTTGACGGAAAATTCCACAAGATGGCAGGGGTTGGGGAGGGATGGGGATCCTTAATGTACCCAACACTCTACCATCCCCGAAAGAAATGATTTCATATTATGGATCAGATGCTGTTGTTTCATAGCATCAATAAACCTTTAAAAACTTTCCTTTATTTTATAATCATCTGTTTATTGACTTTCATTCTATAGCTGTGCATTATATATGACAATAAAACCCTCATTAACAATATGGCTGCAGGGTCACATGCTGTGGGACACCGCTATGCCCGCTAACCTCGGCTACATAGCCGCCCTACTGTACAACTCCAATAACGTAACGAGGGAGGCCAGTCCGGTCACAACCGGCATGGAAATCCAGGTCGGGAAACAGATATGTGAAATGCTCGGGTACAGCTTTGGGCAAAAACCAGAGCCATGGGGCCACCTCACGTGCGGCGGAAGTGTAGCCAACATTGAAGCCATGTGGTCTGCTCGAAACGTCAAATTCTATCCGGTCGCAATTAAAAAAGCTGTGACGTCAGAAGAAGCGTTAAAAGACGCGCTGAACTATGAAGTGTTTGTACCGAGACTTGACGCAAAACAAAAGTTAACTGGAGTTTGTTCTTGGGACCTACTGAACCTCGATATAGATGACATTATTCGTATTCCAGAAGATATGTCGAAGTTGGGGATTTCGAATGACGTTCTCGCAGATTGTTTGTCCAAGTACAGTTTACAGGCTTTGGGATTTTTTAAATTCGCACTTGTTCATGGACTTACTGAGGCACCCGTCGTTGTATCCCCGGCCTCCAATCATTACTCTTGGACAAAGGCAGCGACTCTACTGGGCATTGGATCCGAGAACCTGATCTCCGTGATGTTTGATAGGAATGCCCGGATGAGTATAGATGGTAAGTGGTGTGCGTGTTTATAA